GAGAGAGAGAGAGAGAGAGAGAGAGAGAGAGAGAGAGAGAGAGAGAGAGAGAGAGAGAGACTTTCACTGGTCGCATGTTCCTCACCTAGAAGAGATTCAAATCATTCAATCTGCGTACTACGACTTAAGGGACGCGGTTTGATGGATGGGCAGACTGGAGTGCAACGATTCCAGGAGGTGGTACTATTCTGGTGGGAACTCAAATTGGACTCCCGTGGTGGATAGTTTCGCAGGAGCGATTAGCAGTAATTGTGCTCCAGGAAAGGGTGTCTTTGTGGACACATATGTCGCTTCCTTTCCGTGTGGGATGATTCAATTCGAACCCCCAATACTTTGTAATGTGTCAGTTTTTCAGGACTTCAAAAAGTCCACGTTGCGACAGAAGTAGGAGATTAGATTCGTGAATTAATTAAACGATGATGTTGATGCTGTAGCCTCTGTACAACCCTGAGGGAGAGAACCCGTACCTGGACCTATTCAAGCAATGTTCATTTTCTTCTAACTTGTGATGGTGACCAAGCTGTCAAGTCAATGGGCACCCACGGTGATGCCGTTGGTGCTACGCCGGTATTAATTATGCGCAAGCAGCGATGGGCGCTTGCTATAGCTGTGATGGTAGTTGCTGTGCAAATGCTTGGTGTTCCAGCAGCTGCGAGGCAACTGCCGGGGGGGAGGGGGAATGGCCCGGCGAGAAGTGGCCGCTCATGGCGAGTTGCAGAGGTACGGGATTGTGAAGGTGCGAACCTGGCGCATGTCATTACCAGGCCTAGCGTAGTCTTGAATTCTGTGTGCTCCTTCCTCCAGTGTGTCAGCGATGGTTACCAATTAGGCACAACAAGGAAACCTTGCTTCCAATTTCTTCCCTCCAATGCCAATGTTGACATTGGAGGCCAAGTGGGTCAGCGGATATGTGGGTCGGCAGCGGAGGTGTGGGTCCCATCTCACTGCTGCTGTGATGGTGGTAGAGGCCTACCACATAGGGGAAATGCGGATGGCAAGCAGCATCAAAACCAGAAGACGACAAGATCACGGCTGCTGCAGTTGCTGACTGGAATGGTTGCTGATCCTACAATAAGGACGAGGACGAGGTTGTTCACTCGCTTTAGTTTCGAGAAACATCTTGGTGATTTCTGTCTTCTTTGTCCTCATCCGAGGCCTTCGCTGAGGAAACTCAGCAGTGATCCTGGGAACGGAAGGGCATCGCCTTTGCGCCGGTTGCTTGGAGACTTACGTCGTGGAGGAATTCACGATCAGATCTTCAGCACTTCTCCTCCTCCAAGCTTGTTGCCGCAACCAGCCACTGCTTCCTCTTCATCTAAAGGTGTCCCTGGTCAGGTACCTCTGGTTTTGCCCGCTGGTGGAGCGGCAAGGGGCCGTCTGAGGCACATCCTTGACCCACAAGAACGGGATGAAGTTGCGTCCATTATGTCGTATGTGAAATCTATGTCGTACGAGTACAAGTACACATTCATGAATAGAGAGGGAGACACAATTGACTGTGTGGCCATCCAAGACCAGCCATCTCTGCGCCATTCTGTTTTGCAGGGTCACACAGTCATTGATCTCGAGCCTCAGAATGCTCCTCCGCTGGGATGGTCACTGTATCCTCATATTCCACCAGGTTCAGGCTCCACGCCGTCTTTGCTTCCACTCTGGCCGCCGAGAGCTGGGGGTGACCATGATGCACAGGCAAGCATGGCCAGCGGCGCAATCAGAAATGAGACTGCCGCTGGAAGTATCAATGAGACACAGGCGACTGCAACAGACGAAGGTGAGCCTCCTGAAAGCGAAGATCAAAGTGTGGATGCAGCAGCTTCCTGTCCCGAGGGCACGATCCCTGTCCGGAGGATGACAGTGGCGGAAGTGCTGAGGCTGAAGTCTCTGCGTAACTTCCGGCAGAAGTATGGGCCGCTGGATGCACGCGAGGGCCCCTTGGGTGCTGGTGATTCGCATCGAGCAAGAATGGGTCCAAGCCCCTCTCCCGGTCTAGTCTTCTCGTCCAACAGACGAGGACACGCCCGCCGCACTGCACATGTGCAGCAGAGTTCTTCTCCTCACCAGCCCCGCTCCATGGATGCAGCGGTCAGTGGGGAGGGGAAAGGGCACCATGAGTATGCCACCGTCCAGCGGTACGGCCAGAGAAACATAGGCGCAAAAGTTGTGCTTAATCTGTGGCAACCAAATGTCGAGGGAGACTCAGAGTTCAGCCTATCACAGATGTGGGTGACATCAGGGTCATACGACAGCGGCACGTTGAACACGATGGAAGTTGGGTGGCAGGTTTTTCCTGCCAAGTACGGTGACCGTGAAGTGCGGTTGTTCATATACCACACTCGTGACGCATACAAGGAAACAGGATGCTATAACCTGGACTGCACTGGATTTGTGCAGACAAACAAGAACATAGTTCTTGGGGGGCCAGTGGGGAGTACATCAGAGCCAAAGGGTAAACAAAAGGAGATAGCTGTAATGTGGTGGCTTGAGCCGGAGACAGGGAAATGGTGGTTGCAGGTTGGAAAACAGTGGGTGGGTTATTTTCCCCGCGATTGGTTTAGTACCCTGGAGGGTGGGGCTGATCACATTGGGTTCGGCGGTGAGGTTGTTGACCTGGAATTGCTTGGCAGGCATACATCCACAGAGATGGGAAGCGGTGTGTTCCCGCGCGGCAAGGATTCCTTTGGCAAAGTGGCCTATCAGCGGAACCTGGAGTACATCGACATGAATAACGCTTACAAAAGTATATCCAGTGTCAGCGAAATCATCACGAATAGGGCGTGCTACGAGTTGGAGACATTCAAGGACAACTCCGATTGGGGTTTTCACTTCTTCTTTGGGGGCCCCGGTTACACCAAGAACGGAACATGTAAGTAGTTGGTAGCTAGTAAGGAGGACGGTTCATTTGCTGTATGTATGTATGTTTGGCTCATGTTGCCCTTCCGATGCCCACTTGTAACTTAGTTGTGGGAGAAACAACACGTGCTAGGGACACAGGGTCTCCTTAATCGGTCACATACGGCTGATGAAAAGTTTGAAGCAGTTGGGAGCAGCCCGGGCGAGGTGACCATTAGCATTTAGATCACACCAAAGCCAAGTGTGCAGCACTGGAGTTATCCAGGAGAGAGAGAGAGAGAGAGAGAGAGAGAGAGAGAGAGAGA